AAAGTCAGTCCTTTCTGCAGGGGAGACAACGGAATGGGGGTGGGTACTGCCTTGACTGAATAAAACATTTGCAGGTAACACATTGGTTACAAGTGGAGATGTATTGCTGGCAAAAAGGAATTAAAATGTTGTTTACGCATCTCTGGCTAGAGAGCAAAATTAGATCATTATTAAGTGCTTTGAGGTCCTTGGATGAAAGGTGCTTGTAAATACCACAAAGTTAATTACAGGCGGTTTATGGTCTTGGAAAGCTTATTCAACAATAAGGAAGTGATTGAGGAAATTATGGCATATTCAATTGTTGGAATATTATTATTATGATGTAGAAGGGTTACAAGCATTGCTGCGGACATGGGAAAGTGCTTATGTTAAGTGAAAAAGACAGGATTTAAAAACCCCCACTATATCCATTGTGATCTCAGTCTATTTAAAATAGTATAGAAGAGGGGAATAGCCCACTAAGTGAACAGTTATTATCTCTAAGTAGTAGAATTGTGGAATTGTGGGTGATTTTTCTTTTCTACTTTCCAAATTTCATAAAATGAACATATAAAGTACATTACTTTCACAAATTCTATGACATTTGTTGAGGCTTTCTTTATGGCTCAGTTGGTGGTTAGGTTTCATAAATGTTCCATATATGTTTGAGAAGAATATATATTCCATAGGGGATGGTGTTCTGTATTATCATTGAAATATAGCTTGTTAATTGTTTTGCTTAAATCTATTTCCTTACTGATTTGTCTGGTAAATTACTGAGGGAGTGTGTAAAAATATCTCATAATCTGATAGTGGATTTTGTCTGTTTCTCCTGTAGCTCTGTCAATAAGGCAATGCTACTAGGTACATATGAATCAGTATTATTTGATTTTCCAGGTGTATTGAACTTTTAATCAATGTTATTACCTTCTTTACTTTTAATAAAGCTTTTTAATCTTAAGGTTCATATCAATTTGCTTTTCATTAGACTTTGCCTGACTTATTTCAACATTTCTATATGTGTTTTAGATGTATCTTTTGTAAAAACATATCTGTTTAAATCTAGTCTGACAGTCTTTGTCTTTTAGCTGGATTATTTAATCCATTTAGATTTATTGTAATTCCTGTTGTACTTGGATTCTATCATGTTTTTGTGCTTTCTGTTTGTCCTGTCTTTTCCATGAGTTTTTTAACTCTTCTTTCTTGCTTTTTTTGGGCATTGATATCTACCCACCTACCCACCCCTTCCATTCTTTCTTCCTCTACTAGTTTTTTAGTTAAACAATTTATTTATCCTCTCTTATTTGATACTCCGGAAATTTTAGCATGCAAACTTGAAACTCATCAAAGAGAAATCAATGTATTTATCTTTCCCTAGAAAAACACCAGGCTTTTAGAAGATACAAACTCTTTCGCCCCTTTAAGTTATATGTTCTTGTCATGTGTTTATTTTTCCTTTTAACTCTATAATGATGATGATGATAATTTTATTTAAAAATTTAAAAAATAATTTAAATATTTATTAAATTTAGATGTTATTATTTGATATAGTCAATATCTTCACTTACCTATTTACCCCTTAATTGTTCTTCATTTCTGTTTAAATCTCAGCTCTTCCATCTGAATTGTTTTCCCTCCGCCTCAGGTAAATACCTGACATTTTTCTTAGTGAGGACCTACTGATGGCAAAGTTAGTTTTGTGTGCAGCTGAAATATCTTTATTTCATACTTATTCTTGAGAGATTTTTGCTAGGTATAGAATTCTGTGGTTACTTTCTCTCAGCATATTGACAACATTCCTGTCTTCTGGCTTCCATTCTCGTAGAGAAGTAAGCTTTCAACCTATCTCTCATTCTTTTGGCGTTAATCTGCCTTTCCCTCTGGCTGCTTTTAAGGTTTTGTCTTGTCTTGGTGTGTGTGCAATATTTCTGTGATGTGCCTAGATGTGGGTTTCTTTTTATTTTATCTCATTGGGCTTCTGGAATCTGTGGACTGTGGTCTTCATCAGTGTTGGAATTTTATTATCCTATTAAAAAAACTCTCTGTATTATCCTGTTTTGCAGATCTGTCTCTCTGTTTACGTATCTTTTCAGATGTATCTAATATACTGTTAAATTTTTCCACTGAGTTTGATTTCAATTATTTTATTTTCATTTCTAGAAATTCTATTTGATTATTTTAAATATTGAATTGGTCATATTTTAGAGTCTTTTGCTCTTCCTGATATTTCTCATCCTTCCTTTATTTCTTTAAACATATTATAGATACATTTTTATATACTGTCCAGATATCTGAAGTTTTTGGTGGATCTGGTTCTCTTGTCAATTTTTTCTCACTCAAGGTCCCTTATTGTGTGTTTTATAACTTTGAATGACAACACATACTCCTCAAAACTCTCTAAGATTCCTTTGAGGTGAGCTTCTCTAGGGAAGAATGTATTTGCTACTGTCAGCTGCCAAAGGGACAACTACTTGAGACAACATCAAATGCAATTTTTAGTTTAAGGCTTTTGAATTTCCCAGGTAGTGTGAATTCAGGATAAAACTCTTTTGAGGAACACCTTAAAGTTCCAAAATCTCAGGGGAGATTGTAATTTTCCTTCTTTACTAGTTTCAGGGTTTGAGGTGGTTATTTCTAGTTTATTCTTTCGCTGAGTAGGGGGTCCTTTGGGTTCCCAGTTCTAGATGAGTGGTGTGTGACATCCTATACCTTGGATAGCCTTGGGCATTGTGTCCGGTCCTCGTGCCCTCCCCCGAAACTGGGAAACTGAAGCTCAAGGTCACTAAGTTCTGCAAATGCCCTGAAGGTAAAAGTTTACTTCGCTCCACTTTCCTCTTTAGGTTGCTACTTTCAGAGAGTTTTTGTCAGTTGAGTATTTCCAATTGTTTTTGTTTTTAAAAAGCTTTGGCCAGAATTTTTCGTTGTTCACAGTTAGAGTGGGTGTGCAGTCCACCATGAGAATGAAAGAGAAGCCTATTACTTTTACAACAATGAACATATATATGTGTATCCATTTTTGGTGATTATTCTTTCTCCCAAACATGAAGTAACTTCTTCACAAGGGATCTATGAGGTTGTCAACTTTTCATAAAGCCTTGAAACTAAGTGGACAGAAACATTAGAGAGAGAAACACAGTCTCTTAGACTACCAGGTTCGTCTCTTTCCTAAATGAGATCGGAATCAGGCTATGCCAGTTTTATGTCTCATATAGTTATAACTGGGTTTGTTAAATCGATGTACCAGAAATGCCAGAGAGACCTCGCAACAAGCTTCCTCACACGTGGCTTCCATGGACACCTTACAACAAAGCTCCAGGATACCTCACGATACATAGCAGCTAAAGTCCAGTTTCAGGACACAAGGGCAAATGCAGGGAGCCGGGTACTGGGAATGTACCCAACAAACTAGCCAAACCTTACTTTAGGACTAAAACTCTTCATCAATCTCTCATGTGTGTTGATACATTGTAAAATGTACTGGCTCAAATTCCATTTAAAAATTTCCCCCCTGCCCGTTCTCTGAGGGTGGCATGACAGAGGGTGATTCAAGTATCAAAGGAGACTAAAACCCCCAAACCAGGTCCTTGATTCCCAAGGTAGTAATAACTGCAGAGTGCGGCTATGTCTGAGGTTGGTGCTCCCGCTGCGGGCTCCTGAACCATCCGATTGTCTGACGTTCCCCTCGACTCTCTTTGGAGTCTGAAGATATTGCCAGTAGAAAAAGAGCTAGGGAGGGGAAGGAGAAGGGGAGGATGGGGCATAAAGTATAAAATATGCTTTGGGCCCTGGCCGGTGTGCCTCAGTTGGTTGGAGCACGTCCTGTGCACCAAAAGGTTGCAGGTTTGATTCCCTGTCAAGGGCATAGGCCCAGGTTGTGGGCTTGATCCCCGGTGGCAGGGGTGCAGGAGGCAGCCAATTTATGTTGCACTCTCACATCAGTATTCTCTCCCCCCCTTTCCCTTCTTTTCTCTCTAAAAATCAATAACCTATTCTTTAAAAAAAATAATAAAATAAAATATGCTTTGGAAGAAAACTAGTCATTCCCTTGACGAGGTTTTTGCTTGGCTTCATGGAGCCTGAGTCTCTACCATTATTGGTGCATTTGTTTGGTTTAAGATTTTCTTAAGCCTCTTAAAATGGACTCATCTCTGGGACTCAGCTGCCTTCTGAGCAGGGAACAGCAAATCAGGGACACTGACCGTGGGGAGCAGTAGGACTGAGGCAAATGGGAGAACACGCTTCTGTCCGTAGGGGCAGCCTCTGCTCGGTCGGCCAGCCGTTCACAGGCAGAAATGTGGATCTTGTGATGCTTTCAAAAGTCAGAAGTCAGCATTTTTATGAGATTTCATGATTTTTGAAGTGTTAGTAACTAATCCCACATTAAAAAAAAAAAATCCACAGAGAAAGCCAAACAAAGCGCATTTGTGGGCTGGATCCTGTCCATGGGCCACCAGTTTGTAACCTTTGTGTTGGACTTTACTATTCATTGGACACCCCATTGTGAGAGAATTTATTACATCCTTTGCTGGGGCAGAGCAGGGAGAGGGAGAGGAGAAATGTGGGGCCACTCATGGGCCAAGAGAAGAGCGGGGAAGGGAGAGAAGACAGCGGTGAAGCCTTCATTATCCTGAGTGGGTTGGGCTGCGGGCCAGAAAGCCCCATGGCCAATGGGCTGCCCTTCCAACGGCTGGATGTGAAAGATCAAGTCAGATGCTAGTTCAGGATGCTCTTCATTCCAAATGTGAACTTTTCGAGTCACTTTCCATAGGAAATTCATAAAAGAATGTAAAAAATAGTTTCAGGGGCAATAACCCTGCAAGATAGGCAAGTTCATAACACTTATTTACATGAAACAAACAAAAGCTACTTTTACAGGTAATTCTTTTCTAGCCATTGGTTAAACAGGTCTCTAAAGACTTCCACCAGGCAACATTCCTTAGTTTTGTTTGTTACACCCAAGATAAAAAATTATATCACATCATTTTAGCATGTTTAGATAGACTTTTCACCAAGCTCTGAACATGGCATCTCGTTGGGTTGCATCGAGCTTGTTTACGACCCTTAGGTGGGCAGCAAATGGGATCATCCCTCAACCCCCAGGGGCTGGTAAATGTCCCCACTTCTTTATAAGCTTATTGAAATCTCTCTCCTCCACCTCCCCCCACCCAAGGACAGCCTTTTCTGCCTCAGAGTGGAAGAGAAATACAGACCACAGCGACGGAGACCCACCCGACGGGCACAGGAAGCTGCCGTCCAGTGCTGCAGAGGACAGAGCCGTGCTGCTGGGGTTCGCGATGATGGGCTTCGCGGTTCTGATGTTCTTCTTGTTTGGAATAGCCATCCTACAGCCCTTCATGCTTAGGTAAGAAGCGGGGAAAAGAGGCCCAGAATTCCCAGTGCAGATCAGATGCGGGCGCAGTGGCAGAGAGGGGAGGCTGGCTTTGGTTTCTGCAGCCCTCTGATCACTGTTCCTCCCCGGTGCTGGGTGGGAGCTGGGGGTGAGCAAGAAGTGTAAGAAAGTGGGGGGTATTTCTTTCCCCCTCCCCAACTCTCATCTCAAAAATACCCCCAACCACAAATCCACAAATGAGATAGTCATGTAGGTAATAAATCCTCCCTTTACCATGCAGGCATCCCAGGGCAGGGCTAATTTAAGCCTTCTACATGAGCACAATACAAGTTTTTGAGCCTGAGCTTTTTGAGTTGGCTATGTCTCCCTGGCACATTCTAACAAACTCACTCGGGGGATGCTGAAGTTTGGAAACCATTGATCTCAGGGTTGGTGTAGAGAGAAATATGCCAGGAGGGTCCTAACTGAGACGGAGCTTGGCGATTTGTTGCTATTTATTCCATCTGCAGGTCCCCCAAGCTCCCTGGTCACTGTGTGCCTTCTGCGATGGTCCTACACGACCTCGAAATAGACAAATGTCTCGGGTTACCACATTAGACCTATCGAACTAAGTTTTCGAGAGGGTGCAGATCATTATTTTATTTTTTCCGATTGAAGCCCTCAGAGAGAAGACGCGAACTGCACCGTCATTCACACACGCCTCACGGACGACGGGACGGACTGTGCTCCCACCTGCGGCGTGGGCTGCCAAGGTCAGGGCAGGCACCCCTGTCTGCAGGTGTTTGTGAACCTCACCCATTCAGGTCAGAAAGCTCTCCTACATTATAATGAAGAGGCTGTCCAGATAAATTCCAAGGTAATGCTCTAATTAAAAAGTTCTAAGTACAGCAACCCTTCCAGGCCCGGCTGTCCCCAGCGCGGTGCAGTACCCTGGGCCGTCTCTAGGGATAAATCTGTTTCCTTCCAGTGGATGTCTGATAGTGATCAAATCAGGATAAGTGAAGCTAAAAGCATTCTTGGAGGACAAATGGGGTAAATAGAGGAGAAATTACTCCAATTCCACACACTGATGTCTGGAATTTATAGCCTGAACCAATGAAGAGAGTCATTTCTGGGTGGTCTTCCTTTTGAAGGTCCCACTCCCCATCATATCAAAAATGGTAAAAGGTACAGTCCACCTTAAATCAGGCAAGTCATTTTTCTTATCAGAGAAATTGAAAGGATTAGTATAATTTTGATCTTAATAAGTTACTCAACTGGTTCATGTGATATAAAGTGTACATTTACACCTAACAAAGTTGAGCTGTATTAGATTAGTTCGCACGTTATACTTTGTTGCCTTCACTTAATCACTAATTTTAATTTGAGGATTTCTGTTTTCTATTTTGGATGCAATAATTTTTAAGATGTCAAACATTTTTATAGGCCATTGGCACAGTGTTTGGAGTGTCTAGTGGATGTGGCAATAACCTCGAGCTTTTTGGGGGAAAAATCACCAGCTGATAGAGCTCCCTTATCCACTGGTTCTGCCTCCCAGGAACCAGAGCCCACGTGGGGCCCCTCTTTGTGGACCTAAGACAAAAGCCTCATTATGCTAATCCTTTAGGGAGAGATTTTACTACAGGACATCAAGACAAAGACAATAGAGGGATGAATAGGTGCTGAAAGCACACAGAGAGCTCAGTAAATATTTGTTGAATGGACAAATGGATTGAGTTACTGTCCAGGAAGAGACCAAGGACCTGCATGTCAGGAGCATGGTCCTTATGAAGTTGGTCAGTCGCTTCTGCAATGCCTTTATCCTAAGACTACTTTCCCACATCTCTGCTTAGTGCCTGGAAATGGCCATTTCACTCTGTGCCTGTCTGCAAACCCTTCCCCATGATCTATGTAATAGGTTTCGTCACCCTGAGACAGAAACTCCCCACTAATAGCTTTATTTTGAAGCTACTTCAGAATTAAACTGTTAGGTGCCTGGTGTTGGGAAGTGTCTTCATCTTTCTCCTCCCCCATGTTCCTAGTGTTTTTACACACCTAAGTGCCACCGAGACAGGGATGACTTGCTCAACAGTGCTCTGGACATAAAGGAATTCTTCGATCACCAAAATGGGACCCCCTTCTCGTGCTTCTACAGCCCAGACAGCCAAGCTGAAGATGTGATTCTCATGAAAAAGTATGACCGAATGGTTATCTTCCACTGCTTATTTTGGCCTTCGCTGACTCTGCTAGGTGGCGCCCTGATTGTTGGCATGGTGCGGTTAACACAGTACCTGTCCCTTCTATGTGACAAGTACAGCACTGCATCCAGAGGTGAGGCAGGTGGCAAAGCACCTTACATGGAACGGCACTGGCCCACACTGTGGAGTGTGTGGAGAAGCCAAGGAAGGAGCCGAGGAATCTCAGGATGGTGGCCAGACTGAAGTCTTGGCCTTCAGATACCTGCACTTTCTGCACGCCAGGACTTAATTATGTCTGCTTGCAATTCAACCATGAAGAGGCAGTGAAGTATGATATGGGAAAGAAAAACTTCTAAAAGTCTCACATGTATTGTTTATCCTGTAAATATATACAAATCCACCATCTTTTCTACTCTAAATCTCTTTCCATATTAGCCAAGGAAGCACTTTTTGTTCCCACATGGCAAAATGAGCTCAAGGTAGCTGTCCTTCAATTGCAGCTCTAGCTAGAACTTATCCATGTGGAAATAAATGATTAGGGTATCTGGCCTACCCAGCAGTGGACAACCAGCCTAGTTCTACCCAGTATAGTTCCTATTAAAACACTTCTCCAAAATATTCTTGGTGAAGACAGTTCATTCACTATAGGAGACACTAATCTGGTGATCACCAGAGGTGTGGCCCTACCATTTCATGTCACCATCCGTGATACAGGAGGGAAGCCACTGCCTAGAAAATTCACCAAGTTTAGAGTTACTTGTACTGAACTTTACCACGTACCATGTAAGTCTTCTCCTAGCAACAGTTTTTAGGTCATTATGCTTCCCGTAAACTCATTCTTTGCACACATTCTGGGGAGAGTGGGAGATGGACGGAGCTGTGCTGTGCAGCAGGGACATGCTGCCCGGGATGGAATTTGACATTCATCTCAGATCATCTGCGTCACAGGAAAACCCCGCATGGAAAGTCACCACTGTCCATGCACTAATTGATGACTCAACCGTCATTATTAAATAATGTCGCTCTCCCAACAGGTGCTTTCCACATTAAGCTGAATGTATGAGATGAAAACAGTTTATTCTGAAAACCAATGTGCCTTATTTTTAAAATTTTACTAAAAAAAATCTTACTTCAGGGACAATAGAAGATGAGACTCTTGAAGCAACTCTTTTATGTAGATGTAACCAAACAAGAAACTTTAATCCTAAGCCAATTTAATGCCTTTTAGAAATTGATTGTAAGCCACAAATTACTAAACAAACTGAAGTCAAATTGAGCAATATTGACTTGACCGGTAATGAACAATTCTGGTGTTTTCTCTTTCTACTGTGGAACAGTGGAGAGGACATGTGTCTCAGAGCGGGAGAGCCAAGATATGGAAATGACTTAAGTGTCCATCGACAGATTAAAGAAAATGTGATTCTAGAAATGTAATGTGTGTATACATATACACAGTGAAATATTATTCAGCCTTAAAAAAGGAGATCCTGCCCCGGCCGAGTGGCTCAGTTTGTTGGAGCGTTAGAGGCAACTGATCGATGTTTCACTCTCACATTGATATTTCTCTCTCTAAAATACCAAGTGAGGATTTAAAAAGAAAGAAAAAAGGAGATCCTGCTATTTGCAACAACACAGATAAACCTGGAGGGCATTATGTTAATTAAAATAAGCCAGCTACAGAAGGAAAAGACGGCATGTCACTGCATTTATGCAGTCTAAAAAAGTCAAATACACAGAAACAGAGAGTGGTACGATGGTTATTGGGTGTATGTGGGGGAAGTGGGGAGATGTTGGTTAAAGGGTACAAACTTTCAGTTATAAGATGAGTACATCTAGAGATTTAGTATACAGCATGAGGACTAGTTAATAATACTGAAGACTGGAAATGTGCTAAGAGAGTAGATTTCAGGTGCTCTCATCACACACACGGTATCTGTGAGATGATACGTTAATTAGCTTGACTGTAGTAATCATCTCACTATGTATATCAAATCATTATATTGTAGACCTTAAAAATATACAATCCTCATTAAAAATAAATTCAATCAGCCTCAGTACCTCTCATCAGACAGCTGGCGTAGGGGTGAGGGTAGGAAGCTGCAGGAGAGGATCCTCCCCACCTCCTCTTGGCTAAATATGATATGCATTTAAGGTCCAGAATGTGCTGTTTAAAAGGTTATGGTAAACTCTTTTGTATACCAAAGACTTCCCTGTAATAGAATGTGTATGCACATACATTTAAATCATTCTGCAAATTGAGTTTCTGTAGTTTTCTTAAATTAAGGACACATCTTTATTCCATTTCTTAGTAAGTTTGACACCCACCTAATGATATGCCATTCTTGGGATTTTTCTCCTAACAAATTCAAAACCACTAATTTGAAACCTAGAGGGTGTGAAAGTGTGAAACCTGAAGTATCTGAATTCCCACAGTTTTCCATCTCAGGAAAGAGACATTATGCTGGGAGAACAGTCAATTTAGAACAATGTTAAAGTCACTCAAATCACTTGGCAAATAAACAAATTTAAACAATTAGGTGCTGTTAATTGCTTAGAAGTACTAAGTGCCAATGCCCATGTGCATTATGGGTCCAAAAACCACTCAGACTTACCTTTTGCAAGGTTTACATGAACTGAAAGCAAAACCAGTTTGCTACTAATCTAAGTTCTTTTCTAGGTTCTCTTCTTCAGTTGACTTGGAAAAAAGTGCGTTTGCACATACAAACACATTCATAAATTTATGTGTATACATGTATTTAAATACAAGCCTAGCCCGGCTGGCGTGGCTCAGTGGTTGAGCATGGACCTAGGATCCAGGAGATCGCGGTTCGATTCCCGGTCAGGGCACATGCGAGGGCTGCAGGCTCTTCCCCAGCAGGGGGCGTGCAGGAGGCAGCCGATCAATGACTCTTTCATCATTGATGTTTCTATCTCTCTCTCTCCCTCTTCCTTCCTCTCTCTGAAATCAATAAAGATATATATATTTAAAAAATAATAAAAGTATATAATTCTTTATGCTTACAGGAAGTTAATACTGAAACAGATTATTTCTCTAACATTCATCACTTTACTGGGGCAGAAAAATTGGCTTTGAAGGCATAATTATTTCAGGTTACTGTTCAATGTTTCTTAGTCATTACTGGTAAGAACTTGAATTCCACTAAAGTTTGATTAGCAATACTGGTTTGCTTTTAAGTATTCAAAAGATAGCAAAATATAATTATCAGTTATTTATATAGTACACAGTTTAAAATATATAGTACACTAAGGATTGTTTGGACACAAGTCAAGGTAATTTCTGTCTTTTTTTAATAAACAGCGTGATATTACAGACTGCGAAGTTAAAGAAAAGCAGACATTGACAGTTTCTGATGAGCACAAACAGTAAGTGCAGTCACAGGCCAAACTTCTTGCCAGGAACAGCAAGACTGGGAAGAGGTCTTAAATTAATTCTATATTTTCAGTACAATAACACATGCATCTCGCTGTGTCAAATACTTTTTGGGCCATCATTAAAAGAACATTTAAAAACATTTTTCTCTTAACTAAAGCAGTATACCACAGGACTTCAATTCATTGAATGACAAAATATAAAGAGATCTGCTACAATAAATGGGGCTAAAAGGATGGTGGCAACTACTTTGTAAAATTTCCAAAGTCAACATTTGGGTATGTTAGTAGTCTTCACTTGGTAGTGCCACATCCCCCAAGATGTTAAAGTGTTATGTTCCAGAAGGATATATTCTTTTAGATTTTATTCAACCCAATTAAGTCCAAGGACTGAATCACATTTAAACCACTGATTGCATCTGAAACTTAGGTTCCATAACCAAAAACTTTCCTAGAAATCAGATAAAGGGCAACTTCTCTGAACACTCTTAGGAACATAAATTAAACTTGATAAGGGGCCTTTTCTTATGAAATCAATAGATAATGACCACATTTGGAAATTTACACTAGAATCAAGGAGCTCAGTCTTATTAAAGATATTTTGAGAAAATATCAAAGTTGGTTTTCTGCCTCTTTGCTAACCTAGAAGAATGAACTAAAATAAGATTCATGTAAAAAAAAAAAAGTACATGGCTCGTAGCATAACCACAAAATTATTGTAGTGACAGATTAAATATGATTTAGATAGATTCATAGACTTAAATAGCTTACAGAATGCATTAAAAAGCCCCTTTCCATACTTACCAACATGAGGAATGGAGTCTATGGTTGGTAGTGAAAATCAGTTACCCAACTACACTAAATGTATGTACAAGGGACTGATTTTATTTATTTTCTCCCTGCTAAAACTTACATGTAATTGTGTAAAAATTAAGTCAGAAAATTTCCTTATGGCTCATAACTGTCACTTTATGCTAGCTAGCAGGACTGTAATATTAACATACCTAAAATATTAACATATCTACACAAAAGGAACGGCGCTGGTTAAAAAAAAGGAAGTGCAAAACTTGAACAAGTGGAAGACTTGAGTGAAATGAGCTTCTTTAAATACTAACATCCCAACTTGGGAAACTCCTAATAAATTCTAAACTCTTCTGAATTTTAGAACCTTGATGTTTACACCAAGAAATAAAAGATGCCTCTTGACTAGAGCTAGCAAGCAGTGTGTATACAGATAGAAATATGTGCAAATATACACACACTAATTTCACTAATCAAGAAAACAGAACACAACTAATTTCAAATATTGAATTCAAGAACCTAGTACCATGAACATCCTAGCACTATAGCCTTTACCAAATGGCTGGAGCAATGATTAATTTTTTAACCAGAATTTTTTCTTAACGTCTCCAATGCCATTAAAAACAAGGCATGCGAACTCTGACTTCATACATCTAAAATACAGTGCTCTGCAAGTTTCTGTAATATCAGAGCCTGAAGTATTGAATCGTGACTCTATTTTTACCTTATTAACCTTCTGAGGTAGAGTTACCAATCCAATTTCATCAGGACCAGAGTTATCTTGAGCTAACCCCTAAAGTGAACATAACATTTAATAGAAAAGAAGAAAGGCTTCCCAGGCCATGGCACATAAGATACATTTACAATTTTTAATGTAATGATTAAAAAATAAAAACGGTTTGTTTATATTTTAAAAAACAGCCCAGCTGTATTATTCTGTCACCAAGAATTATTATCTGAGTATCCTGTCAATGCTGAATTTTTGTTCAGCCTTCACAACCCCACCCTTGATGAAGAGTTAATTCCCTTGTGGTATGCACAATATACTCTCACAACTTTCAGCCTTCTCTCGTGCCCCATCTGAGTGGACATGAAGAATGTAATTCATTCAGACAACTCCTCCCTGTTTTGCACCCGCCCCTCCACATTCCCCTCTTCTCAAACACATCTGAAGTATGAAAGTTGTTTTAAAATAGTAGAAGCACCACAATCCGTTAACACCACATATGGCCTTTAAACTGAAATACTATAGTGATGTCTTGGACATCAAAATCAATTTTTTAAGGTGGATTCTGAGTGTGTGGGTCCAGCCCAGGTCTGCTGTTGGTGCAGATATTGAAACAAAAGGAACTTATAACATCAGAAAAAGTTAAGCTGCTGGCTTTAAAATAATGCTAGAAATTAAATTTCTTCAAAGAGCTGGCAAGCATGGGCCATTATTAGTCAGGATTAATTAAATGGATTTATAAAATCATAAGAAACAAATCCAAATTTATACACTGTGAAATTTCCATGGTGCCTTTAGAATCGAAAGGCTGCTTGTAATTTTTTTAGAATGCCAAATCACGCAATTTTTGATGGAAAAAGGAATACAGATGGACTGTGTTTTACCTATGTGAAAATTACCAATCCATTTAAAATAAAATCCAAGAGGGTATATACATTCTAATCAAGTCATTGATTATTTTCCTGATTAATAAGAACTACACTTTACACAAAATACTTTATCAGCAGTTGTTTTCATCAAAAAACCAATAGTCATAGTTTCACAGTTGAAAAAGTTACACATTAAAATATTTTACAATTCATTATATATTCACCAGGCTCCCATTTCCTAAAGGGCTTGTAATATAAAGCAGAGTAGAAGGGAGAACCTCAAAGTTGAGCACTTTGACACTAAGTTTTACACAGGACACTAAGAACCACAAAAAGCTTAGGTTCTATCATAAAATAGAGACCAAATTCCATTCTTGATTAAAAAATCCAATTAGAAACATCTTTTTTAAAAAACAACAAATTCCACAATATGATTAACAGATTTCAAATTAACAGCGGTGTAAAAATCTTCAAAATAAACAATTTTGTATAGCTGAGATTAAAACAAAAAGGTAAAGCATGATTTTCAAACAGTTGATTATTTTTTGCTAGAACATGTTTAAAATTAGGTTTTACTTTCTTTAAACCTGCTTTTTCCCCTTTGAAATAGTCATTGAAGGAAATATTGCTCAAGTGATTGTATGAATTTGT